TAAGCATCAGGTCCGCCTATATACCACATGTGTAAATGAAGTTTTAAATAAATAAATAATAAGTAGGAGGTCACTTCTAGAAACAAGATGTTTTATTTAACGTCATAATATTACGTACAAGTACAACAATTACATACAAAGGCACGGTCACGCCGCAGCGTACTTCAATTACCGAAACTGCCGGCACGCTCCAGTAATGACTGCCGACAACACAATAAGAGTATTGTTTCTTATATGCGGTTTGGCCAAACTAACTATCATAATTCATAGCTTAAAAAACGAATGGCAATATTTGTGAATTCATTTAAGTAAATGTTTTTAAAGAAACTTTTAAAGTAATTGTAAATTAATTGTATATATATATATATATATATATATATATATATATATATATATATATATATACTAGGTGTCCTCGCAAGGGTGTGGCGGTACTTCACGCTAGGGCAGATTCTTACCTTATATAGACCGCAAGCCCGGTCGTGCATGCTGTCACATATGGGCTGGTGCTGCAAAATGCCACCTGGTAGCGTTGGACTGGAGAGTTTTTTTTTCTTTTTAAAAACGTTACCCCCACACTAGGATTATCTCCTGTATCGTAGAGGCAGTTTACAAACACAAATTTCACAAGGACAAACATCCAGACCCGCAACAGTCATTTGTAGGCCATATAAATACTTGTTCCGTGCGGGATTCGAACCCGCGCCCCCCAGCGCAGCAACTCATTGCTAAGCCACTGCGCCACGGAGCAGAGAGAGAGTCGAGTGTAGATGAGTTGCTAAGAGGTTCATTGGCAACCTTAATTTGGTTAAAACCAATCTTGTCAGCCTCAAGCACATGCGCATAGTAGTCAGCCTCTCAGTATTTATTATATAGGATGCATTTCGGTGAGTGTGCGCAGGAATTACATGCTTTAATTCTCCTTTCCACCATCGGTTAACCACGCGGTTAACGGCTCTTCAACCCTTTGTTGTCGATATTCCACGCATTAGAACGAAACGGTTTGCTTCGTCTTTTGTAATGCGTACAACAAAGGAGTGGAATAATTTGGCGGCGTCTATCTTTCCGTCCCAATACAATCTGACGCCCACGTCTTCAAGGCAAGAGAGAATAGGCTTTTGTTACGCTATAACAGTGCTATATACCATCAAGGGCTGCATCACCACGTACCACATTTTGAGGGGATTGGGATTTTGGTCAAGCACTGGCTTATAATAAGTTAAAAAAATGTAATTATTTTACTACAAACCACACAATGCCCATTGATCTTTCCTCAGGATACAAAATCCTACTCGAACTTGTATCGTTTTTGTATTAAGCAATGACTGTAGTAAAGGATATAATACATGTATACTTACATTAATAACATCGTGGGAATGAGGTAATTGCTGTTATGTTTTTTCTAAAAGATTTTATAATAAATTGAACCTCGTACATTATTGAAAAATGTTATATGATAAAGGAAGGAGTTTTACTGGATTCCTTGATGGTATCTTTTAACGATAGATTTTTCCGAACCAATGGTTAAAGTGAAGGTGAATTTCAGTAAGAATTATTTATAATGTAGAATTGAATTCAATAAAAAACAGAAATGTGAAAAATTTACTTTTAATATAAAGTAAAAGCCGACTTCAAAGAAATAAAAAGAACAAAATAATTTCACATTCTGAAGTCGGTGCTAAGACCTACGTAAAGTGTATTAGAAGAATTGAAGCCCAGTTGACAAAGATATCGTGTAACATATGTACAAAAACATGTCTAATTGAAAACCTCCCTCTTTTATGAAGTCGGCTAAAACAATATATTGTCACAGTCTACACAAGGTCTACATTCACTTTCACGTTGAGTTTGTCACGAATAATGCCTAGGAATTAGATCATATCTTCCGCACTTGTAGGAAATAACAGCTATCTCTTGCTCTCACATAAGTGATTGATACATAATTCTATTTCATTTAAACTTAGTTACTTAATGTTACCGTTCTATATAGTGTTTACTACTGCAGATTAAGAATGGAAACGTAAAGATTGATTTAAATCAGGCATAACAAAGCCATGGCAGCTAGCTAATGGTCCGCCATTTATTTTACATAATGCAGTGAATAATACGCGTTTAATTTATTTTTGATTTCCGAAGTTTCAAGTTCTTTAGGTGAAAAGGTTTTATTCAATGTATAATATTCACGCAAATATATGAGAACAATTCGTTAAGGTAACATCATCACTTTCGTAATGTTAGTTTGAGCCACCAGGCCCCGTGCCTAACGAAAGCAGAAAACTGGCTTTACAATTATATTTCGATTATGTATTCTGTGGTTTCGATGAATAACAATGATCTTCTACATTATCAGTTCGTCATTGTCCATTGCTGGATATGGGTACTGTAGGAATTCACAAGGTCTTTCTGGCCTCCCCTTAGTCACCTCTTACGATACCCACGGGACGTAATGAGAGGCTGGATTCTCTTACGCGTTGCCCCATAGCAATAGGCACACGGCAACAACTATCGACAGTAAAAATGTCATCAGAATAATATTCAAAATTAAAAAAAATCTTTAACAGAACAATTGTTTAATATCGCATGTAAAATCAATATCAACCCAAACTTTAATATTGAACATGTACTATGTATCCAGATAGGTATCACAAGTAACAATGTACTTAGAACATGTTCTTTACTATTTTATATATGACCAAATAAATGCACTGAAAACTTTTTGAAATAATCTGATATGAGCGCTCACAGATTTCCGAGCTGCCCCTAGACTGAAAATCAGTTCATACTGAGGCCAGTCCATTCCGTGGTATTATAGTATACCTATATTATTGTTATGAGCTTGGAGTTCGAGACAATTATATATCTGCCGAGTGAATTTCCATAATTGACACTTTAATTACAGAACACTAATTACGCGCATCATTATATTAGTTTTATAGTTTAATGTAACAGACTATTAAATTCCATAGCTGAACATAGGCCTTCCTCGTAGATTGACTCATAAGTGAAATATTTGCCTTAGTTCCCACGATTGGCAAGCGAATTGGCATTCGAAGTTTTTTTTTTAGTTTTAATCGTTATTAGGAAGACGCTGCTGCCCATCTCCTGATTTATTTCCCCCTGTCGCCTCTCACGACACTCACGAAATGATATGTGTTATAGTTTATCGGATTTAATATAGCCATAAGTTTAACTCTATTGTTTTTTTATATTATATTTATTTTACTGTAAATTATTATTAAGCCAAAATTTATGTCGTGTCAAACCACAAACAAATGTGTTTTCGTCCAATCTTTATTCCAAATGGAACACTCATAAAAAGGCAGTATCAATTACAACATTAGCATTAATTTTCTTAAAGTAGAACTAACTTACTTAATCTATAGCCCCTGCTATCTTCTTCAATAGTCCCGTATAAGATATAGGCCAAACTCACAAAGCAAGCTAATTACCTGAAATGAAAAACAAATTATTTAGAAATAATACAAAACAAATAAAAACTTCGTATACTACTCGTACATTAGAACAATTAATGTCAGTTTTTTCTTCTTCTTCTCAAAAAATTTTATAACAAAAAAAGTTCATTTTATGTTTCTTCCTAATAGTCCACTGCTGGATATAATTCTTTTTTATATAATAAAGGTGACAAACGAGCACGCAGTCCACCATATGGTAAGTGGATGATGTGGCCCATAGACGTCTACATTTATTCTCGATTAAGAATCAAAATGCAGATGCGTTGTCATCTCTGACGACTAAGATATTTTACGCTGTTATTCTGTGAGAGCGTGATCCTACCCCGGTTGAGTCGACCCATTCGTGTTACAACCATAATATAGCTTCAGCGTGGTTCTACCACGTAAACATACAAATCCCGTTGTTTGGAGGATTTGTATCAGTCGTCACGTTTTTGAGGCGGCTTAACGATCGTAGTGCCAGGATCTCTATCCATCACCGGTCAGTGTATTTACGTCTGGCATAAGCGCGAAGGTTATAACGCTATGTACCGAAAATCTCCTTTTTAGCCAAGGAGACGCTTTGGGCACGCACCCACACTCTATCTGCACACTGCAAAAATGTATTTTGATTTAAAAAATAATCACGGCATGTGAGCTGTTAGTTATATCATATTAGTCCCCAAGAATAACAACATAATCCGTATTTGGTTTCAAATGTGTTCAAACTACAGCCACCATTTACTATCTGTAGGGCTGTCAGTTACTCTAATTCGTTCGTTCGTTATATAAAGAACAAATGCCACGTCACAAAATCAAGTTTATAAGTATATTGTTTGACAGTCGCCTTTACAAAATAAACACGTTAACCGGGATGCTTGAAAGATTTGCCTTTACACGCTACGCCGGGCAAAGCAAGTCGATTGCTTCCTATAATCACCACAGACGGGAAAAAACTAAGCAATACATATAGTCAACAAATACAATTTGCTAAGACAATTTGATTCAGACCATACTTATGATTTTTCATATTTTAATCAAAAAAAAAAATAACTTCTTAATCTCTTTTTTGATTTATATTCAATTTAAAGATAAAAATTGTACATCTTACAAACTTATATCGACTTGTACATATGACTAATGATTTGAACAATTCATATGTGTCTATTTATTCGGAGACACAAACAAAAATAAAGTGATCCAACAAAAGTATTAAAATTTCAATTGTATGCATTTTCAGGTACACCGGGCAAATACCTACATCGTCAGCCACGCTTGCGATGTGGATTAATATGCTGCCTTCTTGCCAGCCACCGTCTGCAAGTGATGAAAAAGCGATGCGCAGAACTAAACCTCCGGACATAAAAAAGCAAAGAATTGAAGGACATTTAATATCGTCTCCGCAAAATACCAGTGTTTAATAGTCTTCACAAAATACCAAAGTGTTTATTTTTAATTTATATTTTTAACGATAAGCAACACTGAACGTTTAAAAAAGTTACCAATACTGTGATAAATTTAAGAAAACTGAAAGCAAACATAATCGAAATGGCTATACACGTGCTTTTAGCATCTACAGCGCTTAAAACGATAAGTGTTACTGGATTGTGGGTGATACCGCTCCTGCTTGGAGCACTCACGTATCACAACTATAGTTCGTACGATCCCGAAGCGAAAGTGCTCGACAGGGAGCCCAGCAGGGAGTATGATTTCATCGTAGTGGGCGGTGGGTCCGCTGGAGCTGTGGTGGCGAATCGACTGACTGAGGTGAAAGACTGGAATCTTCTACTGTTAGAGAGTGGTGAGTACTAAATATCTCTGTATATAATAATCAAATGCTGACCGTTAGTCTCGCTAAAGCTCGAAAACTGCTCGAACGATTTTGATGAAAATTTTTGTGTGCGTTTTAGTGAGTCCCCGGATGCTTTATATTTCACAATTAGAGACTGTATGTGGCACCGTTGTCAAGATCTGTGTCACTGTCACATGTGCGAAGCCGGGGCGGATCGCTAGTTTTAAATATTTATCATCTTTACGTCTGGTAGTAATCGTCTCCTCTAAACAACTACAACGATTGAAGTCATTCACACAATATGTATTGGCGAAACTTTTCTTCATGCTATGACAAAAACCGATTGGTGGGTTGTAGTCAAGTTATTAGTAAACTAAAAATGATTCTTATTCACAAGATGTGTAGTCAAAAAATAATTTAATTTTTGACTACAGATATATAAATATAAATACAGAAAGGTCTGTTTGAAATCTAATGTCATTAGTCTCGGTTACTACCTTACAAATGAAGTAAGGGAATCTACTACCACTTATGATCTCATGGGGGGTATTAAAAGGCGACAGAGGGAATCTGAAACATGAGGCATACAGTAGCATCTTTCTATTAAAAGCTCACATAATTGAGCACAGAATTTAGAACAAAACTGAGGTTGTCAATCTGCGTGCTAGGCATGGCAAGTAAGGCAAAAATCCCCCCATGGGGCAATCAATCGGGGGGGGGGGGGGAATGAATGAATTATAAACATATAAATAATAATAGTGGTAGAGCCACGCGGCAGAATTGCTGTCGCACGGATGGGCCGGCTCGAACCGGGGTGGTACCACGACCTCACAGAATACCAGCGTGAAGTAGAGGTTTACCTCTGCGTTTCGCTTGGTGAGTGCAGGTGGCCGGAGGCCCTTTTTACTGGAAATGAGGCATTCCATCTTAGTCCTCACGGGTGACAACGCATCTGCATTTTGATTCGCAAACGAGGATATATGTAGATGTCTATGAGCCGCAGCAGCCACTTACCATCAGGTGGACTGTGTGCTCGTTTGTCACCCTCATCCTATAAAAAAAAATATTTTGTGAACAAGACATTTTTAAAGCAGATCCTTCCTAAAAGATGAAAAATAGATGACGCAGAAAATGACAGAGCGTTTAATTCTACAATGCACTGTTTATTCATTTATTTATCTCTACAGCCTGTTAAAATTCCACAACTAAAACATAAGAAAGAGTGTGACTCTTTGATTGCCGCATAGGGAGGATAATAATTGCGATAGTTGCCAAGCTTGGCGGGCGGCTTGGCATCCGCAATTTTCTATTATTTTGAGTTGTTATCTACTCCTGTTTTATTTCCTTCCATCTGTGGTCGCTTACGACACGCACGGGATGATATGGGATAGCGAATTCTGTTACAACGCCACTACAAGGTTGTTTAGCTGCCTTTTAAATGGAGAACGACATCGCAAGATATACCAAAGTGTCAATTAATAAACCAGGTAATTTTAACAATTTCCAGGTCCAGACGAAAACGAGATCACCGATGTCCCTTCGTTAGCAGGCTACCTACAACTAACGAAGCTCGACTGGCAGTACAAGACGGAGCCCACACCCTACGCGTGCTTAGGTTTTAAACAGCGACGGTGCAGTTGGCCAAGGGGAAAGGTAATTAAAAGATTTTAATTAAAACTTAATATCGATTATTCTCGGGCAGTTTAGAAAATAATGACGACGTGGTTCCTATAATAATTTCTTATATTTACGCGAACACTATACATTAAATAAAATAAATTTTACGGATTTTATCGCGTTTAATTTAACATTTAATTAGCGACCTTTCAGGTGCTTTACAGCATTCGCGGTCACGGGGGGCACTGAGATATTTGACGTCAGCTATGTGATGACGAACTGACGTTCAAGAAAGTTTGCAGAGTCAAGATCGACCCCGCCTTTATATTACATTTGATAAACCAGAAATTCAAAATAACAACCGATTCCTATCAAGGATGATTCGCGAAGCTATTGAAATAAAAAAAAAAAACATCCATCTTCTCTATTGAAATTTGGGATCCTAAAATTAATAAAATTATATCCAAACCCAAACATACCTCTGCAAGATATTGTAAGCTCATTCTGCGTAGATCGGATCAAAAATTAATATTGAAAAACTGAAGGTAGCCGAGTTAACTATGACATCAGGACATTACCCGTGACCACGGGTGTACGTCGGTTCTTGTCTAGAGAACAGCGAGGTCTAGGTTCAAATCGGTCAGAGTACTTACATTTATTTATTTACTAGCTGTTCCCCGCGACTTCACCCGCGTGTAATTTAAGGTTTTAATTATGTTGCGCGGAACCCTAATTCTTTTTCTAAAATATAAGTAGCCTAAGTTACTCCTTACAACATCAGCTATGAGCCAGTAAGTACAGTCCCGTCAAAATCGGTCCAGCCGTTTCGGAGATTAGCCGGAACAAACAGACAGACAAAAATTAAAGAAAATGTGTTTTTGTTATAAGTACCGTATATACTTTCATATACCTTTAGGAAAAAGCTATTATTTAGGCATTACAAACGGGTCCGTGGCGCAGTGGCTTAGCAATGAGTTGTTGCGCTGGGGGCCGCGTGTTCGAATCCCACACGGAACAAATATTTGTATGGCCTACAAATAATTGTTCCGGGTCTGGATGTTTGTCCTCGTGAAATTTATGTTTGTAAACTGCCTCCACGACACAGGAGAAAATCCTAGTGTGGGGGTAACGTTTAAAAACAAATTACAAACAGACACTTTAATTTTATTTATTTGTATATAATAGATAATTCCATCATTCATAACAGCTTATTATAAGTCCATTGATGAAAATAGGCCTTCCCCAAAGATTGCCTCATAGAGGGGATATTTGCCATAGTTATCACACTTGGCAAGCAAGTTGGCTACTACAGTCTCCTTGTTTCAGATTATCTCTATCGGCTCTACCAACACCCACTGAATTATATGGTGTAGTGGATTAGCTTACGCTCATACTATAAGGCAATATATGGTGGAAACATTTAGTTTTATTTGTCTTTGGTGTTCATCATCATCATCATTACAGCCCTTCACAAGTCCACTGCTGAACATAGGCCTCCCCCAAAGAATGCCACAAAACACGGTCCTGAGCCACCTGCATCCATCGACTTCCTGCATGTCTTTGGTGTTACAAACAGATATATAATAATTATAAAAAAGATTAATGTTAACCGTTTAACTAATTATATATCCAAGAACATCACCACGAAATACAAGAAAAAAGATGCTACTTTATCACCCGAGCCATATTTCAATAATTACAGACAGATACATAGTTCAATTTTATTTAAATGTCTTGTGTTGTTAATGATATCGAGCAATGGATCAATGATCTGTTTGTTATATTTCAGCATTTATATTTGTTCGACCTGGCGTAAAAAAACCTTTTATTTTTTACTTTCAGGTGCTTGGAGGTTCCAGTGTACTAAACTACATGATCTATGTGAGAGGCAATCGTTTCGATTTTGATCAATGGGAATCTTTCGGAAATCCTGGCTGGGGTTATCGAGATGTGTTAAAATATTTCATTAAATCTGAAGACAATAGAAATCCTTACTTAAACAAAAACGAATATCATGGCAGAGGAGGATACCTTACAGTTCAAGAAGCACCATGGAGAACGCCTTTAGTGGCTGCATTCGTTGAAGCAGGAGTTGAAATAGGATATGAAAATAGAGATATTAACGGAGCAGTACAAACTGGCTTCATGATAGCACAAGGCACAATAAGACGTGGTTCAAGGTGCAGTACGGCAAAAGCATTTCTGAGACCAGTTCGCACGCGTCGTAACCTAGACATATCTCTCAATTCTCAAGTTACCAAAGTGTTGATTAATCCTATAACTATGAAAGCATACGGAGTTGAGTTCATCAAACACGGCATAAAAAGAGTAGTGTTCGCAAGGAAAGAGGTTATATTGTCTGCTGGAGCCATTAACAGTCCGCAGTTGCTCATGCTGTCTGGTATAGGCCCCAAAGATCACTTAAGAGACGTTGGAATTAAAGTCTTAAAAGATTTGCCCGTCGGTGAAAATTTACAAGATCACGTCGGCGTTGGAGGACTAACATTTTTAGTAGATAAACCTGTCGCGATAGTTCAAAACCGTTTACAAGCATTCCCCGTTACAATGAACTATGTAATAAATGAGAGAGGACCAATGACGACATTGGGCGGATTGGAAGGCGTTGCTTTTGTGAACACAAAATATGCAAATAGCTCTGGATTATGGCCAGATATTCAGTTTCATATGGCACCAGCATCTTTTTCGTCAGATAATGGCCAAATAGTAAGAAAAATTTTAGGTCTTACGGATGAGCTATACAATACAGTATATAAACCGATCGCAAATAAAGATGCGTGGACAATAATGCCTCTTTTACTGAGACCAAATACGAGAGGATATGTCAGACTAAGGAATTCTAATCCCTTCGACTATCCGATAATGAATCCTAGATATCACGAAGACAGACTTGATGTTAATCGCTTGGTGGAAGGAATTAAAATTGCTTTAAAAGTGGCCAACGCATCACCGTTTAAACAATTTGGTTCTAGACTATACATGAAACCTTTACCAAACTGTAAGCAATTTAAATTTATGTCTGACGAGTACATCGAGTGTCAAGTTCGGACGATTTCCATGACAATATATCATCAGTGTGGCACAACAAAAATGGGTCCTTCTTGGGACCAAAAAGCCGTAGTCGACCCGCGGCTGCGTGTGTACGGTGTGGAGGGACTTCGTGTTATTGACGCAAGCATTATGCCAACTATAGTAAGCGGCAACACAAACGCCGCAGTGATTATGATAGGGGAGAAAGGAGCCGATATGATCAAACAAGACTGGTTAGGTCATAAGCGGTGACGAAAGAGACATTGTGATTTTATATGAACTAAAGTGAATCTTAAAGTAATTATAAATACATTGACTGTATCATATTGTTCTTAGTTTGTAAATATTCTATTATAAGAACTGGCGTACTGTAATTTATAATACATAACACCTCTATCTAGGACTATCAGCACACATTAAACTACTGTAAATTTAAAAGTATGCGAACAACCCGAGTTCGATATCGAATGATATTTTTAGTGCCGAAAACATTGTGAGGAAACCTACATATCTGATAAATAAAAAATAAAACATTTCACCGTTCCTTGCTTTAAAAGGTTAAAACCCTTTCAGACATGAGAAGAGGACTGTACCCAGAAGTGGAACGTAGATGTATAGTAAATTTCCATTTTTTACTTATTGTAATAAACCTGACGTTTTCACATGGAAACTATACCTACGAGGATATAAAGAACGTTATTCCGATACGCGCTGATAAGATACGAAATGGTTAAGTGTGCACACATTTTTGTGGTCATTGTCACGATATGTCGAAATGAGCGTCCATACAAAGGAACAAGCACACGATACGAATTGTCTAACCATGATCCGTCAAGATGATCAAATGTGGACCCGACCTGAACGGTTTTCATATATTAACAAAATATAGGCTAAGTAAAGAACACTAAACTTATTTCAACGCTAGTTCTGAAGTTAAATATAATCAAGGGATAGTAGCCAAATACGAGGGATAACGTAATATATGAGAAACTGTCACCCTATCTCGCCCCGAGGATATCGTCACAAGTAACTTAGAGAAAGGCCAAGAAAGATGGTATAGACTTATACCATATAGCGGTATAATTATCTTGTATTTATACCTCGTTTAAAATTGCAATGCCGGCGCTGGGAAGCAGTGACAAAGGAATATACAATACTGCCATCATTATACCACTATATAAAAGTGCGATTGCAGTTTATCCATACTACTACGGGAGAGGCCCATGTCCTGCATTCTAATGTTTGTGGCCTAATGTAGAGTAGGATAGCTAAGCCTAAAAATTATTATTTTGTTTGCAACAAAATAATAATTTTTTTGCCAATTTCCTCAACATTCTACACCTTCAGTCTGTAAAGGATCATGGATCTCTCAGAAGGTGGAGAGGATTTGCCTAAATTATCACGTTTGGCAGACGGATTGGCAATCGTTGTACCATATTTGACACTGCGTCTGTAGTGCCTATCGGAATATATATGTCGAATTTTATGATAACCTCGAAATGAAAATGACATTTGGATTATCTAACGCAGCTATATATCACCACAGTGTACCTTTTTTTATGCCACGTGACACTTATCCACGTCGTTCTTTTTATAGAATAAGGGTGATAAACGAACACACACTCTATCTGATGTGGAGGCTGTTGCCCATAGACATCTACATCTATCCTGTTATGAATCAAAATGCAGATGCGTTGTCACCCCTGAGGTATAAACTGAAATGCCTCTTTTCCAGGAGTTGCAGCTAAAAGATCCAAACTTTAAAAAATTCAATGAATCAATGTTATGTTATATGTTATCAAAATATTTTATTATTATATGTTATCAAAAAATATATTATTATTATATGTTATCAAGTAGAAAAGTTTCAACTGCAATCACTTATCTGAATGCTAAGTATGATAATTGTGGCATAACAGACTGTTAACGAATTGATATCCTTTTTCTTTAAAGGAAATTAATTAAATAAGTATATCTAATGCGAACACAATAAATTAAAAGCTTATAATCATTTGACTTAATGATTCAAACCTCCCTCCCTTTTAGTAGAGGTTAACAGGGCATGCGGGAGTCCATAACGCCACTCTAATACAATTCCTCGGAATAAATCAGCACCTACAGTTGAAATTAAGTATTGGTTCCAGGCGAGATCGAACTCGGATTTCTCTCGTTGCTAACCTATTCAAATCAAGCGAGCAACTACTAAGCCATCACGCCTCAGACACAATATTGACTTGAGAACAATAGAAGGACAAATATAAAACATTGAGCACATTAATTTAATGATTTTAGGTATTATGTTTATGATTGTCATTTGTATATAACTTCCGTTGACTAATGTTTAAGGACAAGAATTTGTCTTAGGTTAACACACTCGTCACCAATTTTGAGCGTAGTGTTCCTTCCATCAAGGTCAATCGACGGATCAAACTCGGTTGAGCTGCGTTCGGGACATTACGGACACCAGCCTCTCATTGTCACGTTATCAATGATGAGTTATGGTTCTGAGACGTAATCATTTACTGTGGCCGTACAAGGAAGATTAAGGTCGCCTAGCGATATTTAGAGAGAACTATGAAGGATTTGTTAACGAAGATTATCTGCATGCTAAAATTCGTAATAAAGATATTCACAGTAGAACCAGAGTAACTGACATAGCAAAACGGACCAGTAAGCGTAATAGGCCGACAATATAACTTGAAGAAGCGACAACCAATGGGTAGAAAAGTTCATGTTTAGTAACCTCGAACCAGTATGCGATGTGTAGGTCGGCCCCCTTACTAGTTGAAGTGAAGATCTTGTAAGACACGCAGGAAGTATGTATGCAAATATCTCTGAACCGTTATTTGTGGCATACTTTGGACACAGTCTAACTACTACTGGTGGAGTCAAATCTTCAACTGTGTATTTGTAAAGGGTGTAATGATAATGACCAAGGACGTTAAAGGAACCAACAAATATGCTCGCAAACTTTCTCCAAGGGTTTATGGTATAAATTTGGTGACAACGAAACATTTTTAGAGAAATTTCCAATGAAATAATTTGGTGCCACAAATACAACAACTGTAATATTTACTGTAGTTATATTCTGGTGATAGTACCAATATTTTTAATAATGATATGTCTATTGTGTTAGTCATATATAGTATTTGTCAAAGTTATATCAAATCATCAAATCATCATCATCATCCTGCTGATCGGGGTTCAAATCTAAGTAAAAGCAACACTCATTCAGATTTGCAGGCGGTATAATTTTTTTGGATAAAAGGTCGCATATTTAGGGATGAATTTTTCCCTGGCCATTTAACACTGGATATATATATTTTTGCTAAAGGGCGATATGAATAACACTATCACTACAATCCATCGCAAGTCCACAGCTAAGCATAGGCTTCCTCTATAGATTACGGCAATCTAACCACAATTCTGAGCCACCTGCAGCCATCGACTACCTGTGTATATAATAATATACACAGGTAGTCGATGGATGCAGGACCTAATAAGGTCATCATCATCATCACTACAGCCCTTCACAAGTCCACTGCTGAACATAGGCCTCCCCCAAAGAATGCCACAAAGCACGGTCGTGAGCCACCTGCATCCATCAACTTCCTGCATGTCTTACCAGGTCGTCACTCCATCTCGTGGGGGGACGCCCTACACTTCGCCTACCGGTACGAGGCTGCCATTCGAGAACCTTTCTTCCCCATCGGTTGTCGGTTCTTCGAGCTATATGGCCAGCCCATTGCCACATGAGCTTACTAATCCGTTGGGCTATGTCGGTTACTCTGGTTCTACTGCGGATATCCTCATTCCTAAGTTTATCACGCAGAGAAACTCCGAGCATAGCCCTCTCCATAGCTCGCTGAGTGACCTTGAGCTTCCTCATCCGGCCAGCAGTGAAGGACCACGTCTCAGTTCCGTATGTCATCACTGGCAACACGCACTGGGTGTACAGTCTCGTTTTCTTATTAGGTCATTACTCCATCTAATGGAGGGTCGACCAACACTGCGCTCGCCAGAAAGACGCTGAATCTTTCTTTATGTTCGGTTGTTTGTTTTTCAAACTTGATGCTGGTCGGCACTTCACATACTAATCCGTTGGGCTATGTTAGTCACTCTTGTTCTTCTACGGATTTCCTCGTTACGTTATTTTCTACATTGTTACGTTATCTCACCCTACAGAGTAATTCTGAACAAGCGCTTTTTATCAAAAGCTGAGTGCACACAGTAGTGAAGGATCACGTTTCGATTCCGTAACAGCAATGGCAAAACGCACCGGTTGTACACTTTCGTCTTAAGGTTCTAAGAAATATCGGACAAGAAGATAAGTCCCAGTTTCCAGAACGCAGCCCAGTTGAGTTGGATTCGTCGATTGAACTCCGGTCAAAGTTGGATTTAGCTAAGCAGGCATATTGTCTCAGATATACATACTCGTAAAAAAAATCGAGAGTATCTTTCAAATACCGTTAGAGATTTAGCAAGGTAATAATTTACATTTATTTAGTAAAATTTTTAGAAGTTATCATCAATGCAGAAACTATAATCATAAAAAAACGCATATGCTAATAAGATTAGAGTGAGGCTCGTATAAAGTCTCAGAAACATGTTGATGTACACGCCATATTCAGGTCATGTGTTCGAGATTTATTACACAAAGGTGGCAAACAAGCTCAAATCCAGCCGATGGTAAGTGGATATTGTGGCCTACAGCTGCTTTCATCTATCATCGATGAAGAATGGAAGGGCAGGTGCGTTGTCACCTCTAACTTTCAGGATAAAGTGCCTTGTTGTCATATAGAATTTACATGACAATACAAGATACTGTAATCAGACATGTATCATGCATGTCTGATATGTAATGTGAAAAAAAAAAAACAAGGAAAATGATAAATCAAGTTATAGTTTCAATTACACATACATAATTGATTTATTATATGCATTTGTGGGTTTTAATGATTTTTAGAGAATAAATAAATAACCTGTAAACTTGTGATTGTTATCTTTATAGGATTTCCTCCTTGTGACAGAGCATTAATCCTTTATTATTATTACGTTATACAATGTAATTTTCTAATTATTTTTTCATATATATATATGAAAAAATAATATAGCAAATATATATATATGTATATAGCATTATTTATGTTATAAATAAAATTATGTTGTGTGCCATAAGATGTAAACATTAATTCTTGTTTCGTTTTAAAAGCTTTTATTGGCTTAGAGATCATTCTGAGATTTGTTGTTCA